GAAAGTCAATGATAATTATTTTCACTTTGATGGTAACTAATAGGTCTTATTAAAAACAAAAGTAATGTTGGTAGATATTAAAACTAAATATTTTTTTTTCGTTTTAACGGTAACGATACATGACCAAATTGACATTTATAGTTGATAGGTATATTGTATATTATAATATCCATAATATCGTAGTTGAAAAATAATGATAACGAAGCTATCGTTACAAACAGACGTGTTTTTATGTTGCAAATTAACAATAGATTTTATGCATAGATACATTTCAATAAATTACTATAGTTGAAAGAAATAAAAATAAAATAAATTAGCTAAATTCCTATATTCATTTTTCATATAAATAATAAATCATAACGTATTATTTTAAAATAAAAACCAAGTATCTATTGAAAGTCGAAAACTTTACAAAACATAATACGTATATGTTATATTGTTTGTGAGAAGTTATATTAAAAATTTATATAATTAACTTCCTATTCCTTACTTTCATAGCTAAGAATTTATTTGAATCCAATTTGTGGTTGACTAACATAACACGCCCAAAAGCGCCCACACCAATAGTCTTATGTAATACAAAATCATGAAACGAAGACTCGTTCATTGGTTGTTGTTTTAAACGTTCTTCAAAATTTTTCTTTGAACATTCTAAATAATCTTGAATTTTATTTATATCTTCTAGTATGCAATCGTTATTGCGATCAGCACTAACTTTATATTCAACATTTATAGGAGAACTTACGGCCATGATAAAGCCGAACGATTTTAAAAAAAAATTTTCAACCGTAATTCATCATGCTTAAACGAGTTGAACTATATTATTGTGAACACCCGTATCCATATACATTATAAATACAAATGTCTACAGTTACCAAGGTGTAATTTATTGTTATAGCATCAGTGTTGTCTATGAAAATAATAACAGGGGTATATAGCTGGTAGACCTTAAATCATTAAAGATAATATTTAAACTTTGCATTGTACCTATTTAGAAGTGTGTGAATGAATAGTTTTCTACATCAAATTGTCGATTGTAAAATATTGGCCAACAATATCCTACTGACAAGAAAAAAAGTGTAACAAACAAAATATTATCATATTATAATGTATTTATTTAAAAAACTACATTATACCAAATTAGATTGATAATTTATCATCACAATTTTTTTATATAATATCGGAAAAAGATTTACGGTTTCCGACAGAGGTGTACCTAAATAGCCTATCTAGATCGCCGTGTGATCATAATAATATATTATATTTTATTAGAAAAACAAATTATAAATGTATTTTGTTTCAATAAAAATTGATTACATGTCGATAAAATATCTATATTTTCCCTTACAAAATATTCGAATCAAATATTTGTATAATATAGTTATTTTATCTGAGCACAAATAATTAAATAGTTTATAATAATATTATCATTTTACTTTTTACATTGAATTTAAGTGGTTTGATATTTTATAACATAATTCATAGCTTTTATTATAAAATAGTAAAATATAAAAATCGATAATATTTTAATATTATAGTTATTATTAAGAACAAAGTATTTTATTGATTTATCTCGGTAGCAACGGCTAATTTTGTTTTAAAATCCATCGTCCATCGTTTATAGTACAATTTAAAATACAATTATCTATCAGATATAATAATCATTCTTAAATTATTTTTTTGCTTAAATTTTTATAGGTACGTATTATTATGGTATATTATATTATTATAATGTCTAAAATTACTGATAATTTTCTAAAATATGTTATTTTGATTAGAATCATGTTGTAAAAATTATTTAAAATAAAATTAATCGTGAACTAATTGTACAAGATAAAACAACTACTCTAATATAATATTCTAAATTAAAAATATAATCTAAAAAAAATGTTCAATTAAACTGATAACACATTATACCCAAATAATTTAAACATCAACACTCAAAATTGGATATAATAATTGTTAATTGTGTTATTTAGTTATAATATTCAAATCAACTTTGATGATTGTAATTTATTTTTCAAAAATATAGCTATTGAATACTAAAAAATATTATGAAACAATAATTTTCACATTTTAAATCTATTTTTAATTTTAATTTTCTCGGTCCGGTTATTTTATAAACACATTTACTTATACTTGCATTCAATATATTATATCACTCAATAACAAATTTAAACAAAGAAAAAAGTGGGTAAGTAAATAATTGCTCTGTTATGAAATAGATATTGGGTGTATCCCGTAATTAAGTTAGTCACTGTCAAGTTAAATTTTAATTCTATAATTTAATGATATATACATACAAAGAACAATTCCCAGTGGAGTTGGCCTATCAGTAACTATATACCATTAAACATTAAACAAATAAAAATGTTATGTTATCTATATTTCCATTAAAATAATTTATATAAAAATAAGATTAGTATTTTAATAGGTTGAAACAATTGTTGCCAGAATATTGTATTTGAAAATGGAATAACAAATTTTAAATATAATAATATACACAAAAACTAAAAGTTCTATCAAATGTAATTAAATTAAATCAAAGTAATTAAAATTATTATTCTTCGTTTAAATATATATTTCAGTCAAATTTTAACTTAAAATGTTTATGAATGAAAAAATACGCTTTTGTAAGTTCTAGATTTTTGAATTTGAGTAACCACTGTCAATTAACAATCGTTAGTCAAGTTATTAAGCTTTAGGTAAAATTGAATATATTTTTTTAATTTTAACTACAAAATAATTTTTTTAATTTTTGAGATTTCGTCGAGCTTTTTAAAATTTAAGCCTTAAGCACTTAAATTATACCTATATTTTTAGTATTTTTATGCTTAAAAACTAATTTTAAATAGTTTATAAAAAATTTTAAAAAATCTATATATAGTAATAATTTTAAGTATCTACAGCTATTTATTTTTTTTAATAACTATAAAATCAATTTTTTCAAACACTAATTTTGCGGTTAGATTTAAAAGTTAACTTTTAAAATAATAAATATAAAAATATGTTATTCATCTTTACATTTAAATATAAAAACGTAATTAATTTCAATTTTTCTGGAACACTTTTCTTTTGAAATACTAATTTGAAGTTTGCTCATTACCTGTGATAGGGTCTAATGGTAGTAAAGATTATCCATTGCTGTCTTTGAAAGTTCTTTGTGATGATTTCGTGTTAGTTATGCAGATTTGTGAAATTCAATTTTAACTTGGTTGATTTCCACGAAACAATAAACAGGGTATCAAACAGTGTTTTTTTAAAAACCATGAACGTTAAGCTCGTATACTAGTTAATTAATGATTTTAATTAATATAATATTGCACTACAACGAGAATATGATTTATTATTATAATATATTGTATCACTTAAATCCCAATAAAATAATATGATTGATGAACTAATAAATTGTACGTAGTAAAATAATGAAAACAGCTGTCAGACTATAACCGTTATAATATGTTTTTTGAGCTGTTTAACGGATTATTAGCATTTATTTTAGTCCATTTTTGTTTAATTATGTCTAGTATTGAGTCTAATTTAGTATAACTTCCCCAGCAATATTTATCATTAACTATCACAACGGTCGCAATGCATAAGATAAATTACCATATAAAATAATATGATAGGAGCTCTATACCTATTACGTACAAATATACCCACAAAGGCTTGCGTAATCGTTTGTTCCCGTTCGGCATGCGAACATAACAGCTACAGAATATATAACATTGATATTATAATCGTGAAATATGCAAGAGTGACGTTTGATAAACATTCTCGTACAATATTAGATAATCATTATTAATTGAATTCAAACAACATCCGTGAGGTCCCCCTGCATATGGAGGATACCACAAGTTGTTGCAACGGCTCTAAACCAGTGACAATATTTTGAAACTTATTAGCAACTATTAGCAACCAACATTCTATCATTCGAAACCATATACTTTCACTACGGTTTGAGTTATATTATTTTGTGAGAAGCGACGTAAATCTCTTTACCAACGAAATTGTTATTTCGGCTCTAAACTAAAGCCAATATTTTTAATTCGAAAAAAATAAAATTGACTGAGAAGTTTTCCGCTAATGTAGTGAAACTTATAATACATTTTTTGCACATATTGTTTGTGTTATTTTTTAACTATTCTCTCAGATATATTATATTTTTTTTGAAGTTATTACTTATTATTCACATATTTACAAAATAACTATATTAAAAAAAAAAAAATATGGAATTTAAATAAATTAAATTATTCATACACTTAGATTTTCCACTCATAATCACATTAACCACTATAGATAAGTAAAGTGTATTTTTAAAACTATTAAAATGTTGCAATTTGTAAATTTAAACCATAAAACTGAACTCGTTGAAATCATTTTGTTTTAAAACTATAAATAATATGCATTATTGAATAATACAATGATAATAAGTATTTCTTAATTAACAATAATCCATCATTCATTGTTTTTTAGAAAAACAATACTATAGTCTACCATAAAATTAATTAATTAATTATTATTAAGCAGTGTAGGACATAATATATAATGTACTATATTATAACTTTATTAAAATTGATGACGTATACTTTACGCGTACCTTAGTCTATAAATAATTATGTCCAGAAGGCAAAAATTTATCATTTTATAAAATGTTAGTAAACAAACGAAAAATGCACGATTTCAATACTAAAATTATATTTAAAATAAATGTATCATAATATTATTATATTAGGTTACTAAAAATAATTTATATATTATAATATAATTACTAATATTCTGATAAAATAATTATAATAAATATTAAAATTAAACATTATGGAATTATGATATAAAAAAATGCATTTTGTTTTTATACCAAAAACACTAAATGCCCTGTACAGAGCTTAAAAAACTAGTAGGTCTATTAGTACAACCCCTATATAAAGAGCACAACATAATATTTTCTGACTGAAATATTTTTACACGACTTGATATTACATTTTAATTCGCTCGTCCTAACCACGCAGAAAAAAGTAATAAATTTTTTTTGCCTTGGAAAATGATTTTGGAAAAAAATGTTAATAAAATTAATACCTTTCCGGGCACTCATTCCGGATAATCGTTTTCACGTTCTAGTCGCTCGCATTAATTAGTTGCTCGTTAGATAGAGGTTGTCCTAACACATCGTGTTTACGCACGTGCAAACACAAAATAAAAAAAAATATATATATAATTATAATCTAAGATACAAATCTAACTTATTTAAGAAGATGTTTCTAATACAATAATATCATATGAATATTTACAAGTGACAAGTGAAATGAAAAATTCTTGCTGTTCTTCAAATTGTTATTCATCAGCTATAGAAACGATTGATAATAATAATATAATGACGACGCAATTGATTATTAATAATAATGGTTTCAAAGCATTATCGTAGAACGTCACAATTTAAGATACGATTTTAAGTACTATGTATAATTAATATATATATAATGCTTAACTAGGTACTATTAAAACGATTTCATTTCGTTAGTGAAACCGAAATGAATCGCAATGACATACGTGAGAGAATATGGAGCGAGCTTTTATGAGAGGTAGACACGGTGGATGAGTGAAAAATGATTTTTCTACAGTATGTAGATCGAGAGGTGAATATATATCATTATAATACAGAGACACGTAGGGCGAATATACATGTCAATGGTTCGGCGGCTGTAATAGTTTCTATCGAATCTATTGCATAATTTCATAATATTTCGTATCAAAATATTGATGTACCAAAACGAATTTCTCGATGTATTTAAAATAATTTTAAAATCTGTGTGTCGTATGTAACAATTTACATTTCGAAAATCTTCGCGTATCCAAGTATAATGTATAGGAGATCAGGAAGTCATAAAATCGTTAACAAGTCGTCGCTGACCATGGGCATTTATCGCAGAAACTGAATAACAGCCGAAAATATTATCATGAATGCCTTTCGAAAGCGAAATAAAAATACATATAATATTTAAAACTGTGTAATATGAAGAAGCCACCGACCGGACATGACCGTTTATAATATTATTGTAATTATGTTTTCAAGAATAAATAGTATGAACGCATATGTTGCACGCTTATTACAGCATCAGCAAATAGCAACTATTATGATATTATGGTATACAAATTAATTGACACAATATTATTTATTTACTTTCTTTTTTTTTAGTATGGCCCATTTGTTTTATTCTCTTCGTCTTAATAATAATAATAATTGAAAAAGATTTAAAAAAATTACATTAAGATGTCGTTGATTTCGTATAAATAGTGCATTAAACCTGACTTAAATTATTAAAATATAATTTGTCCCGTGAAACATGATTAAAAGGACAGTAAATATTTTAATTATTATTATATATTATTAATATTATTATCACGTGTTTCAGACGAGAAATCGCATACAGACAAGTCGAGAAATATTCAGTTAAACAACATCAAATGAATATTACGGATCGATGCTTGCAAGTGAATATATTGATATTATTATTTAAATAATATTATAGAGATGACAAACAAAAACGACAAGGCCCATCTAGAACGCCTAAAGTGTCCGCGAGCGTGCCGGGGATAACGAATTATCGACTCGACAAAAACAACGTCTGACTGTAATTTAAGAATGCATAGCGTATAATATAATTATATTCTTTTAAAACAAAGGCGAGAATCGTTTCGTCTGTACGCGATCTAGTCACGGTAATCCTCTGTCTTCTTTCAAACGTCTGCAGCGCTGCAATACCATATGATAACAACAATAATAATAATAATAGTAATAATAGTAGTTACGATTTAAAAATATATATATATATATATAAATGTATGTAGAAAATATGATAATATTAAGTCCGATATGCGAGTGATGAGAGTATTAACTATAGTATTGTATACACACGATATTATGATATGATAATGTTAAATGTTTTTGTACCTGACGATATTTTGTAAAAAAAAAAAAAAAATACAGGTTGCTATTCCCATACCCCCCCTGCCGGTGGTCAAGTCGACCCCCGTCAGTTTATTCTGCCCTTGTGTGTGAGGAAACATCTCGCCGGCGCGGCTGCGATCACGTGATGAGCTGGATCATTGGCGCACCCCTTGACCAGTCGTTTGGACCGGTAACACATGACGGTCAGCGCCAAGCTGAGGAAACACAGCACTGTGGAGGCGAGCGCCAGCAGACCGGCTAGCAAGCCGGACCTCACGCACACTGAATTCTGGCTGTTGTCCGTGTAATATCCTGTGGTTCCTGAAAATCGTAAAATAAAATTTTATATCAAATTTTATTTTGTAATAGGCGTAAGGCAGTGGCACAGAATTGGCTACGTCAGCATAACGTACTGCACGCAAGACGTTCTATCAATGCAATAATTGAGCAGTTTGTTCTGAGAAGACCGTCATTAAACCATTTTTGCTGTTGGTTGCTAACAGCGATTCCTCGCAGGACGAGTAACGGAAAGACCGAGTTCGAGGAATTTATTTTTATTTACTTAAACGTAAAGAGATAATATTTTAAGCGTTTGTTAACTTAAATGAAAAAACTACGTTAAGCATAAATCCTATATCATCCTTGTACGAGTATAATATTAAAACATTTGACCTATGGAGTCCATCACTACACGGTTTCGAGTTTTTATTAAGTCACAATTATTTCACGAATTTATAAGTATGTATTTATAATTTATTTGATACTATATGATATTAATATTAAACGCGTACATTTTGTTTTGAATGTTAATAATTGGCTATTGTTAGTTTCTGAAGAAGTTCAACGGCAAATAACTTAATTTTCATATAAAACAAGTCATTAATAATTGACGTGACATTTAACCAGAATGGGAATGTAAAATTATTATACAGATTTTTGAGCATCAGATAATTATTATTATGTTCACCTATCATAGTATTTCACAAAATTGGGTCCGAATACCTATATAGGACTTATCATAATAAAATTTAAAAAAAAAATAGTGAAATCAGATTTTTACCTCCAGCCACACACCACAATCGGCCATCCACCTCATAAACATTATTTTATAAATATCACAATTTAAATTAGCTACCAAGTTAATGCGAAATAATATAATTTAATATTATAGTAAAGTATAAATTGAACAAAATAAATTATGAATGGCTTGAAATAACTTAGGGAGGCTAAGCTGATGAGTGTATAATAAGTTGTAATAATAACAATAATAATACAATTTTTATACTCACTGTTACTAAGTGCACTAGCGTCTTCGCTGTTTTCGCCCTCTTGGAGCACTCTCAAAGACTGGAACAAGTTGATGTTCTGTGAAAGGGCCGCCGGGGTCGTTGCTACCTCCACGTCAGTGGACCGTTTCGACACGCTCTTGGCATTCCTCCAGTGACACGGTTGACTCTGCACGTGAAGATAAAAACAAACGGAACGAGACGATTAGTTTTTTTTATATACAAAAGTCAATAAGGTAAATTAAATGTACAAAGTACAATGTTATGTTATATTCAAAAGTCTATCGATAGAACGATCTAATCGAATGTCTATTTTTTATTCAGTATACAATCGTGATTTAGTAAAATCTGGTTTCAGTGCGCTATGCAGTTATTCGCAATATTATTATAGTAACAATTTACAAGTAATAAAATGAATCAATGGTATTAATACTGCCGTTTGTCTTATGATTTGTTAGAATGTTCTCCATTTAAGTGTCCCTCAAAACTATAATGATTTTTACTCATTTTTCAATCGCACGTGTAATTGATTTGATTTGATCGGTTTTATTTTTTTTTTTAAATAAAGAAAAAGTGTACAAGTTAATAAAAACAATTCATTTATACTAAGTGAATATAACATCGTCGAGTTTGAAATTAATAGTTACCTAACAAATAATAAATCGAACTAAGTTTAAAGTTAAAATGTAAAAAAATATACACTTAGCTTGGTTTAAAAAAGTTTATTTAATTTATATTGGGCGCCTACGTACATCGCATAAAGAGCATTTTATACTTATTTATAAAATTTAATATTATTCAATCAAGAGAAATAAGATTGTAACATTTTCATATTATTTTCATTTTCGTTTAAAACGTGTATACAGTAATATTGATAGTATAAAACTATGAAGACCAATAATTACAAACATTTTAAATATTAACTTGATGGATTATTTTTAAATCGACTGAAAAAAAGTCAAGTTATTTTTAAAGTAAATAAAAACTAGAAAAGTTATTATTCAAAAATTAATGATAAACAAATCAAGTTAAAAAATAAATTAAAAATATTTTCATATTAACTGAAATGTTTTAATTAGCTAATTCCCACCTTTGAATCATACTATTACAGCGAAACCGACTCTACTAAATTTATTAAAATATATTATGTTGTTGTATAATGGGTACTGATGATTTCCGGTCACATTTGTTACTGTTCGATCAAACGATCAACTTAATGGCAAAATTCGATGTGGTGACTTACCGGACATCTGCCATGACACATCCGGACGTCACATTCAATGTAAAGAGCCGGTGACCCGGTGAACCTGAACGTTTTCATGTAAGCAAACACTTGGGTCTCAAACACTTGGCTTTCGCTCCACGATCCTCTGAATCGGCTGATCAATTTGTCGTCGACAGGGCATCTGCAAAGAAAAGATAAAGTGTTCGTCAAGTCAGAGATCAAAAATACACTGTTTGCCACTTTTTCACAGTTGTCATGTGGCTACTAACATATTGAAAAAAAAAACGTCGTTTACGAGGGATTTAAATAGATGGTTGTAATGGTATTTCAAGAATAATGAAAATTTAAATGTGTACAAAGTATTCAACTGGTAGTTGTATGTCATCGCAATTGTTAGTATAACATTATAAATAAATAATATAAAAAAAGTCAATTAAATCATAACGACACTTATCGGTTGTTTTTCTGTAGTTTTATATTGTAATAATCGCATAATATAATATAGAAAAAAAAAAGTAAAAAAAAATTACATGATACATTATTTTTAATATTTATACTTGAAAATTATTTTATATATTATTTTCTAAACATCTACATATAACTATTTATAATGCAAAAAAAAAAATAAAAATATTTTATTGTTTTTGGTACCTCCGTGTGTCTATATACACAATAATAACTCGGAGATATAACGTCTTATTAAATTTATAGCTATAATTCATTATTGACTATTTCGACAATATTATTCATAATATCATTATTGTCCACGAATGGACCGATCAAATACCCGGCGGTAAAATCCTATCCGGATACTACGACAGCAGCCGGACGCCGTAAATATCACTCTATATTTGTGGTTTATAAAACCGCCACTAACGTACTTTAGTTATTGCATGCGATTACGATGTCAAAAGTTATTATATTATGTTATTCGCTCACCCGTATTGATCGATGAGTTGAATCTTCTTCTGCGCTCCGTTGTGCGCATAACAATCGTTCACCACAATATCGAAACCATCTGCAATCACACCCGGTAAAACCGTTAACAAAAATATGCAATAATTCGTTCGATAATACGTAATAATAAAATTTAACAAAACGATAATATAATACGGTTATATTATATAACTCGGCGCGTTCGAGTGCCGAGTTAACAGCGGGAAACATCAATAAACGCACGTTTTACATCCCGCTGAGGCAAAGATTGTGTAAATGTACTTCAGATTTTTTTAGTTTTAAGCAACGTGTTGAGCCGACATTAGGGTAGAAATAATTATAGAAGAATGGCTCATCGAGAAACGCACGAGTGTATGCAATTATAGAGTATGCGATGTAAAATGGGTTGAGCACGCAAAACTCCTAGTAATGACAACAATAACGATATTGTTATTATTGTTATTGTCACGGACAGACGTTGCAGGGTATCTTCGATACCGTGAAGTTTAGTCGTCTACGATGATAATTAATTATTTTCCGTTGGATTGTAAGTTATATTTTCCATAATTTTTTACTTAACTATTAAAACACATTATAGACGCCTACATTACTTTTGGATAAGTGCAGTTTAGTTATCGTTTGCTTTAGTGAATATGATATAACATTATCACATTGGATTTAGAAGAATATATATTTATTTTTTTCAACCATAATGGTCAAAATTAAAAATTTGATCGGACCAATCAATATATAAACCTATTTAGAAGCCTTCGCACATAACGTTCAGCTTATATCCATGTAGCAGGCAGTCAGCTATGTAAATTATATTGAAAATACCACTTTGATCAAGAACGCAATCTCCACTGTGAACTCGACTATACTATTATTACATGTTAATATTATTAGTTATATTTGAACATTACCATATTTGCTCCTCATGTAGATGATCAAAGTCAGCGGATCTCCGACGCGTACAGGTCCTCCAACCCTGTTTCCGGTAGTGCCATATCCGTACCGTATCTCCATGTAACACTCAGGCGGCGACAGTGTAAATACGACCGGATTGCCGGTAGCCACTCTGAGAAAACAGAAGACCAAACCACGTTAACATAATTTATAAATACGAAAAAAGTCGCCTAATTATTTTTGTTGAATATTATAAGTCAAATCAGTACAATTAAACGGATATCATGTATACGTACTCAACGTCTAAAAATGGAAATGTCACAGTCTTCCAAAAATCGTAGCCGTATTCACAAGTCACCTTGAAGTGTTCGTCCCATTCCTCTTCAATCAGCGGATTGTATTGGACGGTTACGGTGTTCCACATGAGATTTTTCTGAAAATTAAAATAAAATCTGTCAATTAAACAAATTGTAATAGAGATAATATAATTATGATATCGTGACGTGACGTGAACATAATATGATAACAAAACCTCGTTATTTATGAATCAAATGTCAGACAATAAGTAATTATATATTATTATATTATATTATAACTACGTTTATAATATTATAATATGTCATATAACTTTAAGCTTATCCAATATCAAACAAAATGTTCAAATGACCTTGACAGTTAACCTTGCTCAATATCAAACACAATGATAAATTCAAAATAATTAAAAACTGCAGTTATTAATTATTGATATACAAAAAGATAACCTACTTATTAACATTTATTTTTTTTTTACTTTTATTGTTGTATATTATATATATATATATATAACAAATTATGGTAACAATTTTTTTTTTGAATTATTAAGCACAGATTTGATTAAAACATAGTATATTTATTAATGAATCAAAGTCCGTTTACAAAAATAAAAATCCATCCAACATGAGCACTACCATTTCATCAGACAATATCACGTTTCACCATGCCTTGGAAATAATGTCCATTGTTAATACTGTTTAATATGTCTGCGCGTACAGAAGTTCAGCGATCAATAATTAATAAGTAATTAATTCTTCGAAATTTCTAATTTAGACCCACTCACACTAATGTTCATTTACTTGCCAGTTGTCATACACAGGTAAATCACCAACATAATGTCATATAAATTTGCTTACAATATTGTTATCCATAAAGACGTATATTGGACAGTAGTCCCCTAAATAGTATAATTGACATTGATTTAAAAAGCAATAGCCCAAACAAAAAAATCAAATTTGTTTGCGTAAATAAATTCAATCTAATAAATTCTTAAACGTATGCCTTATAAGGTTATATTACTCTTAGTCTCGGAAACTTACCGCTGGATTCTTCCTGGCGTCCTCTTGTCTGGAGTTCTTTCCCAGCGTACCGCAACGGTTCAGCTGTATATAAAACTCGTAGTAATCCCGACCAGTGCCGTTGATATAAACGCAGTCCGGGTCGTATGAATATCCAGACGAGTACAGCAGACCGCCGAAGGAGCCGTTGAAACCGATGCGAATTTTCATATAATCATCTTGGCACTCAGCTTCGATATCTGCGAGAAAGATTGAAAACAAAAAAAAAAACATAAATAATAATAAAAACAATATAGATACACTTGGTATTAAATTACTTCTGTTGAAATGGCGATTATATAACATAATCACATAAGTAGAGGTCAATGATAATTACTACTTAAAAAATATATTCAACTCTTTAAAGTTAATATAAGTGTGAAAACTATTTCCTCGACTACTTGGTAAAAAACAATTAACTGATCACCATCTAAATTGCACACGGTTTAGTGAACAATATGACTTTCAATTTAATAATAATTAATCGTTTTGTTAAACATTCATCCTACCTTATACCCACTTTAGAAGTTTTAAGTAATTGTACGTGTTTCTGTACAATATCATCATAATTTTAACTAAGCATACTACTTGTTTATAGCTAAGTTATTGTAATATCGTATAATGAACTAATTATGAATATAATTTTTAGTCGAGTTAAAAAAATAATAAACAAATAACTATAGATGTAGTGAATACCCGACTTCAGAAATTCGCCTATACATATATGCAATGATCGCAACTTGTACTCAAAAGAGCATTTCTAAAAACGTTTTGGTTTTCCAGTTGGCCCCAACGATATTATATACGTACGTTCTCGTACGGAATAGTTTTCAACGGACAGTGACGAATGTGCAGTGTATATTTTATAATGCAGCAGATTTGAGTGAAGTGATGCGTTCTTCCGGAAAATTCCGTGACGGGATTAAAAAAAAATGTCTATTGCAGAGGAGTTTCGACGTGACAATCAATAGTGTATTGTTGTATACTTAGGATAGCATTTTCGCTGACATATATGTATATTATTAATATATCACTGCTTTAATACCTAATAATAAACGATCCATAAGTAAAAGAGGACGGATATCCGTACAATTTTCCAAGTTTATCTAATCGAATTTTAATATTATTCTCAAACACTCGTCATAATTACGGTATATAACTTAAAGTTCTCTGTGTTATACGCATTATTTAACTCCGAATTCAGTCTTGGAAGATGACATTTTAACGTCAGTTAATCTAATAATATTAATTAAAGTTATGTATATAAATAGAATATAATAAAACATAATTTTAAAAACTACAATTTATCCAAGTTACTGCGAACATAATAATACATATACTTACAAATAAACTTTTGTTTTTTTAAGACAAAGTTGGTACATTGTAAAATGACCAGCATGCAAAATTGTAATAACCCCTCCGCTTAACAGTGCGCCATTTCAATAACTGTGCCTACTGTACTTTTTATACATATCTACATACTGCAGAGTGCAGCTGTTACCAATAAAAAAATACGAACCCGCAATAAAATTGTATTTATTTTTATTTTTGTTTTTTTGTCAGCATAACATTTAAACATGGAGCGAATATGACTTATTGTTACATTTCTGTTTAATAATATCGATGATTATTAATTTCTTTCGTTGGTCCGATGTGTGTAACCCACCAAACCATGCACTATAATAAAACAACCGGTGTACCTATCTATTTTTTATTAATTTTTTTTCAATGCGTACCTATGCGTATATACTGTTTTTCTTTCGTCATCATCGTGGAATGCACAGTATATCACCGGAAATAATAGTATACGATAACGGTAACGCGCGTCGCTCGTGTAAGAGGATAATATGTCATCTTAATACACCAGCTAGCACTATTATAATAATTTTATATTGTTATAATTTAGACGTCGCTGGTTTATAGAACTGTTATTAGGTGTTTTTTTTTCTTTTTCACTCGGGTAGTCACGCAGATTTTATTATTCCAAATTGTAATTTAAACACAGAAGATTTTGAGCAAATCCATGGCACGTTTTTACGCAAATTAGATCCGTAATCTTTACCCACCAAGTGATATTCTTGCACACTGAAATATCCGGTATCAGGTACACTTATTAACGGTGGGCTTTTGGTTGAAACAAAACGATGACGAAAAAAAATAAAACATCAGACCATAAATATTATGTTATATAGTGTGCCATTACGATGTAGTTCTGCGATAATGTTCTTCAGTACACAATTATATGTTAAATTGCTAGAAAATTATCGATCGGTTATCACTGCCATCATCACTCTAGCTGTTTCTATTTACCATCAATATACGTATATATTTATGTTTTCATCATATTAAAATGTCAATTCTTAACGGATCTCCAGCTGTTTGCTATATAATAATATAGCTGTAACAACATCGTTTCATAACATCTCCCGTTACAGTTTAATGGCAATCGAGAATCCCGTGTAACAATCAAATCAACCACTCGTCTGTCTGAGTTTTTCAAAGATGAAATTGACAAAGTATATTTAAGCCAAATTATTAGACTTTTGAAACGATGTAAACGATCAGCTGCTTGTAAAAGTAAACAGGATGTTGTAACCTTGAGTTTTAAGCGACAATCCCGCTAATAAAGAACAACGGCATAAGTTAGAATATTACTGTGATTATACACTCTAGCTAGGTCAGTGTGTTTCTAAAACTTCTTATTTCATGCCACCCCTTCTAAATTTTAAGAATCTCTTAATATCTAACTCTTATTATTTTTTATTTAAAAATTAAATTTGAGTATATTTGACCGGTTGACATTTGCTTTTATTTTATGAATCAACTTCATAACATCAAATAATCCCCCACCCTAAGTTGATAAACACTTTAGTGCATAACAAAATCGGTAAAATATATATTTTTCTAAGACTGTAAATTTTAAAGTAAATATTTCATTTAAAACCGGATATGTTTTCGGTTATATACAATAAGAAGTTTATTAGTTCTAAATTGTGGCAGAAGTAATAGCTAGGTAGTTAAAATAAGCAATTTGCGTCAACAACACGTTTTCATGACCTCATTGTTACATAACCACCCGGTGTTCTAATTTGTGATCAAATTCGGGACGAGCTCGTTAGGTCCTTATCGCCACGTTATATCAACATAAGTTTTTTGTCGTGCGAATCTTTATGCAAATTTTCAGCTGATGCTTTAGATATCATCTGATCGTCATATCGATTCGGATACACATGTCTATACGTCTATATAATAGTATATTATCATAATAGCCCTATGAAGGTATACATATAGATATATATATATTTATATATACACGAGTACACTTGTACAGTACCTCTGCCTATTATTACGCGTATACAGGACAACGACGACGAATAATTTGCGGTTGTGGACCCCGTGGGAGACTTAAAAATAATACTTTATGGTCCATTAATTTCTTTCAATAGGACTATTTAATAACGAGTACGAATTTCACGGTTTGCCTGCCACGTCCCCACCAACTCCGGAGGTGTATATATTTATTATTTCTATACATGGATATAGGTATAGGTATATAATACAGCCAATACTGTCACCGCCACCGCCACGAACAATTTTTAAATCAGTTCACAAATATTTAAACACGGACCCGTGAAAATTTTACACGAAAATTAAATATATTCATCTCGGCCATATAATATAATATTATAATATCGTCATCGTCGTTGTCGATGACGATGCGTCACTGTATTATATTAATACAATACTGCAATAATATAACATATAATATGCATTATAATAATAATATACTGATGCAGTCACTATCATCATTATTATTAATTTCACATCCTTTGCACGTTTAACAAGCAAAATGTATACTATATACATATGGGTATGTGTAATTACAGTGTTTACGTGTATATTGTCATATTGCGTCGTGTGTGCACAGAATATGTACGTGGCTGAAGGATCGCTGGACTCTTCATTTCCTCCCCCGGAGACTACCCAGGTGAATGTTAATGTTGTCAATTTAAAAATTTTCTCCATCGATTATAGTTGATGCATGTGGCTTACGACCGTTGCAAGTTTGTTAACAATAATGTAGTTAACGAACCAAACTCCGCGTACAGCAACGTCAAAACGTTTAGACGTATAGTATATTATATTTTTTAAGCTAAAGACTTTAATGCATTAAACATTTTCAAATGTACACTTATCAAAAAAGGTAAAATATTCATTAATATAAGCATACGATAAAACAACTAAAAAATAAATAAAAAATATTACGTAAATGCATGAAAATCCTTGCTTTAATTATAGGTGTGTATGTGTGTGTATATATGGAGCAATTATAATATCGTATCTATAGCCATATATCTATGGCAGTAGACAATTTCTTAGAAGAAACATTTTAAAGAAAATCGAATTATTTTTTTTTTACAAACTAAGAAAAAATAAGGATATAATGTGTATAATAATTAGTAATAAATAATAGTTATAAAAAAGTAGAAAATATCAAGAGTTACTATTGGCAGAAAAACTAAAAATAGCAATAAATTTAAAATTGTTGATGTTCAACTAAAATAATATTATTACCAACTGGTTTACAATAAAACGAGAAAATTCACCTTGCATAAACAATTCGAAAAAATAAATCCCAAAGATGACGGTTAATGACTTCTTTAAGAACTTTTTTTTTCAGCTGTACTTAATATAATATAAACACAAATCGTCTATTCTTTTTAAAATTTAGTTCATTCCTCCGCGAAATTACATTTCATACGACCTCACAGTTAAACGCGCGTGCTTACAATAAGCCTATTATCATCCACCGTGTGTAGTAGTACGATTGCGACGAGCAAAAGTCTTTTTTTTTTCATATTATTATTATTATTATTATTATTATTATCATTATTATTATTGTTGTTATTTTCTAATGCACGTGACTCGGGCATTAAGTCGTCAACGTCGTTGTATAATGACTGTCTAATGCAGTAGTTGGTCCGTAGGGGTCTTTTGTTTCCTTTTGGCCAGAAACGGCGAGAGACGTGCGGGGAGCAGCGTTGGGCACATAGATTGTGAAAATATTGAAAACCACCAAAGCGTTTAAGCGTGCCGACACGATGAATTTTACGGTTTAACCTTCCGAGTACAATAACACAATATTGTTCGGAAAAATTGAATGGCCGCATAATGCGTACATCATAATTTAGCTGTTATCACTAATCACTCCTAAGTCATAATATAATAATATTTTAATCATCTCATACACAGAAAACTACATAATACACTTCATACACGCTATAGAAGTTGTAACGCGCTCGCCATAATATCAATAGTATATTCGAATTTATAGCAGCGGATAATGCAAAGAGATAGAGCTCTTTAACTATTTATTTTTTTATAATTTGAGAGCGGAATGCTTTATACCGATTATTTCAGAAAAAGGAACACGAATATAGCATGTTGTTTTTATTTTTTTTTATAAAGTATATTTTTAGCGTACTTTTTTTATAGTTTTTAATAAACAAAATTGTATTGAAAAAATAATACTGGGCCCTTTTAAGTCTTTCGTGTGAAGACTCAGAAAAATATAAACTAATATACATTATAGATGCATTTAATTAATTAAAATTATTTCTGTTCCGTGAATATAAGTCAATTTTAGTTCCAAAAATATATCAAAAACATAGCTGTTATTTCTAATAATTTTGATGTACAACATGAAATATTATAATATAAAAAGCTCTACTCAGTAAACACTCTTAAAAAATTTTATCGCCCTTAAATATTTTCCACTCAGCTCAACTGATCCTTTTGTGTTATATGAATCTCGTAAGTGTTTTCTCGGTACGGAATTTTTTTTTTATTTTCTATAGAAGTAAACGAATAATATTGCATTGCATAGCCGTTACTTAGCATAATAACAATAATAATAGAAATAATAATAAACAAACGCCAGGTTTAAACAAGTGAAAGCTCACAGATCGTAATACGAGTACAATATTGTACACCAGATATATTATTATAATATCCTTCTGTTATTGAAATGTGTCGGCAACAGTTACGGTACCGATGATAATATTATAACTATTAAATATTTATGATAAATATAATAATATTAATAATTATTATTATCTGAGTCGGTTCAGTGACCATAAAGTCAAAGAGCGGACGTCAGCTTCAATGTTATGCGTGTTTATCGCGATGGCCTCTTCGTAATAATATAACAATATTATGATAATAACACGCAAAGAGGGAAAAATAAAACCCGTCTCAATATGTTCGTGTAAAAGACTTAATACAATATAACGTAGGATAATAATATAATAACGATAATAATCACAATGGAACTCAAACGAAAACAGATATAAGTATGGTCATGAAATGGGTTTAGTTCACATAGTATACTAATTAGTAATTGGAATTAATATCCTAATCGCATGCTGTGTACGGGACGTTTCGCAACTGCTGCAGTTGTAACAAATTGTTAGTTTCTCCTGAAACTATACAACTATTATCGATGTTAGCATTATTGTATTACTGCAGCGAACCCTGTTCACGAAAACTACAGATATATAAAAATGCAAGACATTTGATTCGATCCATTATCGTTGCCAACAAAATGGTCGCTATTCGTTATCTAAGGGTGAGTGTTTCTGTTATTAGTATTAATGAGGACATTTGAAATAGATTAAATATTATTATATCAAAATACTTGAATTTAATTATCATATCAGTTTAATTTTCGAAAATTGTACAAACATATTTTAGATAACAAATAGCGGACATTTTATTGGAGAAATTATTTTATGAGTACGAGTACGTAAAGGCTATGCCAATCGGACGTGTATAGGTAATGGCAGTCGGATATTTAGTATTTTTCTATAGCTGTGGTGAAAACGATATTGAAAGCTTAAAAGTACCGACCGAAATTATGATTATATTATTTCCGTCAAAAATGTATTCGTATGAATTACAACTGTTCCTGACATGTATACAGTATAGAAAGAGAAAATCAATGTAGGCACGCATATACGGTACATGTGATTTTCTAATAGGATTGATGAACAGCAGGGTTATATAATATATTATTTAAAGTCCAAATGTCGATAACGAAATTGGGTTAAGTAGAGAAAGGCTAATGAAGGAAAACTATTAGTTTTATTCGTTGAACCAAAATATCGTATTGAATATTATTCATATGATTTGCACCACAATAGCTAAGTTAGATAGTGGAGGATTTTTTTTTGTAATTTACCGAATCACCGTAAAAAATTTAGTGTATCTACGTAGTTTGCATTGTTATTATTGAATACTTCGACATAGTAATTAATATATTGTTAGTATTTTTAATTCTTAAAAATTTTCACGAAAACTCGATTAATTCTTATTAATTGTTTTTTAAAATTGTGTATCTACACTAAAATGTAATTATTACAGCATATAAAATTATAAAAAAATATATCTTTCATCTTTGTTTAGATAATTTAATAACGACATGCATATATTTTTATAGTATGTCGAGTCCGATTCCGAAACAACGTTAAAAGCCTACGGTGGGGCTGTGGTAGTTTTATTCCACCATTGGGCTTCAAACGAAAACCTAAGACTGCAGCGAGACCGTTCGTAAGTCTACATCGCTGCAGCCATATTTTACGACGTTATACTATCATAAACCTATTCTAGCTATTATCGCGTAAGAGAAAAATTAAATACGTACGTTGCACACGTGTCTTGTTATTGCCGTGCCGCCGTCCGTCCCAACTCTCCACGGTTTGCAGTCTCCAGTCGAGCACGGTCGAGTCGGCCGGCGATATGGGTCTGGATCGGAGCTGAGTAGTGACTGGCACGTAACTGTCACCAACGAACAACACCTGTGAAACGATGAAAAAAAATTCGGATTAATTGAGTAAATAGGTATAATTGAGTTTTAGCAGCTGTTACACGCTGTACTTAATATTATTATATTTTACACATTTTATAAAAATAAAAATTGTTTATATTGCAGTGATAACGTAAAATAAACTTTAATCGAACTCAATTCTTTCTACAGGTAGGTATTACTAACAACAAAATGACCATACGCGAACCTGTTAATTAATTCACAACACTGGACTCGTGTTGTGCGAAATTGCGTATCGCTGCAGCCGAGGTGGTCGTCGGCCAAACACTTCGCAAATGATGGTCTTAACGACTATACTATTTTTTTTTTTTTTTTTTTGTTATTGTTATTGCCACAGATTAAAATGTGTATAATATTTATTAAAAACGTGAACGTCACCGTTTACCGGAAACCGGGTAAGGTAATGTACACCGGGATCCGACAGTGGCGGCCGTAAGTATGATATTTAATGTTGTAGGTATGTTTGTATGTGTGTGTCGGTCTTAGGTACGCCCACCGGGATGTGGTTGTGGGAAGATGACCACCGCCGCGGAATCCGGACATGTTCCATTAACGTCGTTCGCAATTACCCTTCAGTTTTTTTAGATAGCTGAATGTCTAAACATCCAAACGATTACCGCGGACGCCTTTGTACACGACAATCTACTAATGGTATAATTTACCGTTATTAAACAATAATACTATAAGCGCGTCACTCCGTGTAAAATATACACTTTGAGCGTATATACAGTATATATGTGTGTATAGCGAACACGCGCATATTCATTTGCAGTTTTTCATTGTTTGAACCGTTTCTATTTATTCGAACTTGTGTTTAATTCGTCTATTTCTATAATTTATATTGTATGCCTTATGACCACTTATACGACAGGTATGAAATTTAAAAAAATCACACGACGGAAGTATAGGTATTAGGTATCTACATGTATCAAGACACCAAAATCAAGCGATTGGATATAGAGCAGAGATTCTATAGGCTACAGCACTCAACGCCTCGTTTAAACTTAGCCCTAGCGAGTTTATACTCGCCCTAAAATATCTACTAATCAAAGTCATTAGCTAGAGAATATTCCATGAGTAGTTAACACATTTTTTCAACTAGTGGAAAGTATTGAAAATTGTTCACATAGTTATAAATATAAGCCTTCAATAAATATTTCATCCCATACTTTTATATCTCAGTTCGCGATTGACCAAAGTACATTCAACTTTCTACCCTACACTAAGTAGCACATTTTTTCAGAAATATTAATTATATACACATAGGTCTTAAAATCCATTATTTTTGTTTCTCTAATGTAAAAATCTTTAAAAACTTTTTTGTGATTTGGTCAAACGGCGTTCTTTTCTATTTATGGTGAATATGTGGTTTCTTATCTACAAAAAATTGTATTCTTGTCAGTTTTTTCCTGTACAAAACTGTTTTCCTATACAATTTTACAATATCACTAACAACACCGACAACGGCAGCAGGTACTAATATAGAACTCTCATATAAAATATTGGTTTTAATTATGATAAAGTCGAGGGCAAATTGTGAATATCCTTGCCATAATCCTTATTTCATTAGATGCTCTTCAGAAGTATCACATATCTTCAGATTATTTTAATATTTTTAAAACATGTTGATTGTCATTCAATGCGCATAAAACTTATTTATTTATGTGCCCCTTATGATCCGCGGTTCCACAAAAAGCTTCACTGCAATAATTGATCGTCTATTTGTCTCCAATAATTGTAAATTATTTTGAATCGTTATTTAAATATGTATTATTTGAATTTTTTAATTCACATTTTTCGCAGATTCCATTTAATTGTCTGAGTTGAACGACTAACAAATCTAATCTATTGAATCATTTAAAAATCACGTGTTTGCGGGGCCCTAGTGTATTATAATAATAACGATAATATCAACTATGTGATACATCGAATACGTGATGGCCCGCATTGCGTTATCTAGGTCTCTCGAGAATCAATCAATTTAATAAATTTTATAGGTGCGTCATACATAATATACTTAATATAATAATACTGTGTTTCAATATATTAATAACTAAGTGAAAAAAAAAATAATAAACACGTTTCTGACAGATATGGCGATGGCGATGATGATTGAATTATATTTTTATGACGTGCGATCCGCAGTAAAAAAAAAAAAAAAAAAAAATAATAACAAACAAGAAACTTCAGAAAAAAATGAAACCGCGCGGCTCACGTACTCCCAGGCCGTAAGAAACGCACTTAACACGCGCGGTTAACGAATTAATTTATCAAGGTTAGATCGGTGGCGATTGTCGAAATAACTGTAACATTTAAGTGTGTCAAAATATGTGATACCTACTGAGAAAAGGAAAATAAAAAAAACGTATACCTATAATAAAGTGTCCGTTTTTATACTTTGATACCCCATTCTTGTTCACGTGGTAACCGCCGCGATTTATCTCATCCGAACCGTAACAAATTATTTTTTTAATACTACGGCATAAGTAAACGCGCTAGAAAAATATATGTATCTATAGACTTTAATTTGTTGCGAAAAAAATTTTAAATTCGCAATGATGTTTGTATAGTTTTATTAATAATAATATTAATATAATATGCTGCGTCTTCGCCATTAAAATTATTCATTATACATATCCTATCGTACGCAGTGGATCAGTGGTCATCTAAAATGGATACGGTTGACTCCAAAAACCACTGATCATAACATTAATTATTTACTACACATATTATAATTCGTGTCTGTATGCATTTAATGGAAATCGTGGAATTTTTAATTTACTTAAACATATTTTGTTTATCTTTTGCAAATTACATTTTTTCTTTTAAAGTGCGTAGACTGTGTACGAGTCAGTCAGCATTGAAAAAATATTACTTAGTATAAATATCTATTTTTATTGTTGGTAAGTCATTTACTAATAAATCAGATACATAGTAAAACATATAAATACATAGTTAAATTTAAGCAAAGTTAAAATTAATAATATATAATTGGTATCTTTTAAATATATAGGTATACTTACTAATATTTATTATAAAACATTTTTTCAGCAGAAAATTAATAAAATTTAAAAAAATGTAATTTATAGTATTAAAATGATCAAACGTAGTGATTAACAATACTTATAAATTATAATACATTTTATTGTTATAATTCGAGTAATTTGATATGTTGGTGTGTAATAATATAAGATACAATTAAATCGTTCTGAAAACAAATACACTACACCAAGAGTTTTGCACAGTGTTGCACCATCACACAATAACTTAAGTAATTAATGTAAAATATGTATAATTATTATTATATTTTTCAGATATCGGAGAAAACTTTTGATTTCTAATGACTTCAAAGAGTCAAACCGTCGAAAAACCAAAAATAAAACTTTGTAGAACCATTTTAAGATCACGCATATCTACCGAATTCAGTACCCTGTAGTAGTGGAATAATCTGTCGAAAACTGTAATGAACTGTAATATCGAAAACAATTATTTCTGTGGCGTGAGTGTTAATTGTGTCGAGAGCTGCGTAGTGTATTACGTACAGTTTTTAGTTTACAAAAGACTAGATACCATTCAAACCACTGCCAGCGATAGTAAAAATAAAAAAATGATAAATAATAAATAGATAATAATAATACAATAGGTGTAGTAGTGTGTTTAAGTTCGCTACGGTATTTAGCACGTTTATATTTTCATCTCTGAACGTGACATTTTATCGCTAGCAAGATTTTTCTCGTATATAACATATGATATATAATATAGGTAGGTACTACTAGGTACTTAATTGGGACTTGAAAAAAAACCTACTTAGATGTTTTTATATTTTTTTTTATACCTTCCCAATTTAATGATAATATAGTCGTATGGTATTTTTTTCTTGTTTTGTATGCATTCAATATACCTATAAATATCATTATGCTGTCAATAAAATATACAATAATAAACAACAGTGACGTACTGCACTACTTAAAGAGTGCCCTGTAAAAATACCAACTTCTGTTTTCAAATGAAAACTCCCTTTTCTACTGTAAATTCGAAAACACATTTTTTGAGCTATTCCCAACTTTTTGCACTAAAGATAATAGGTTTGAAAGATATGGGGATTTGAAAATGTTAGTAATTATTTTAATATTACTGGTTTATGAACCATTTGTAAGAATTTTAAATTAGGCTCATCAACATTTTTAACTATATTTTCTACTAAATAATTAATCAGTAATAATTTATTGTTTAAAAGAGAGCGTGTGTTTTTTTTTTTTAATCAGAAGTTTGTATCTTCATAAGTGATTATTACAAAAATATCAAACAATTTTAAATACAATTTTTAGGTATAATTAAAAATTCCAAAAATCATAAATTTTGAATAACTATGTTATTGAATTAAAAAATAGGGGTGACTAGGTGATCATGTTTGGTGAATCAATATAATATATACTATGTTTTACTGCACAATCTACAGCGTTTCGACGAACGTATAATCAATGGCAATGATTGAATACTGTGAAATGTTTTTTGATTTTCTTACGTTATATAATATTATATACGGGACAGAAAAATAATATTGTCTGGTCCGTTTTAGACCTTGCGTTATCAGACAATATCCATTGACTTTGCGGCGGAGACATCATTTAAATTGCGTCGAATCAATATTACGCAGACGAAAGTCGTAAAAAATAACAAGTTGGCGATTTGACGTATAATAGTATACGGAGACTTTTGTCGGGATTTTAAAACGATACTTTTATCTTTCAGAACTAGCTGTACATAGAACACAACGCATACACAATTAATTTTCGAAAACTCTGTAGCTACCATATAATATTATATACTCACACGCTTAAATCGACGTCACAGTGCGAATGGTATTATTTCGATTTTCGAACACAAGCCAAAAATAATAAAAATAAAATTATACTAATAAACGTGCACAATAGTATACTTGACAATGTTATAATAATATAACGGGTTGTA